GCTACTACTACTACTACTACTACTACTACTACTACTATTAAGACTACTACTACTTGTTATTCTTCTATTCCTTCTACTACTTCAACTACTTCTACCACTACTACTAGTACTTCTACTTCTACTACTACTACTACTACTACTACTACTACTACTTCTACTACTACTACTACTACTACTGCTACTACTACTACCTCTACTACGACTACTACGACTACTACTACTACTACTACTACTACTACTACTACTACTACTACTACTACTATTACTACTACTACTACTACTACTACTACTACTACTACTACTACTACTACTACTACTACTACTACTACTACTACTACTACTACTACTACTACTACTACTACTACTACTACTACTACTACTACTACTACTACTACTACTACCTACTACCTACTACTACTACCTACTACTACTACTACTACTACTACTACTACTACTACTACTACCACTACTACTACTACTACTACTACTACTACTACTACTACTACTACTACTACTACTACTACTACTACTACTACTACTACTATCTACTACTACTACTACCTACTGCCTACTACCTCCTACATACTACCTACTACCTACTACCTACTACCTACTACCTACTACCTACTACCTACTACCGACTACTACTACTACTACTACTACTACTACTACTACTACTACTACTACTACTACTACTACGACTACTACTACTACTACTCCTACTACTATTACTACTCTCACCATTACTAGAGGGGAGAGGGGGATGAGGGGGAGGACGAGAGGAAGGACGAGGGGGGGGAGAGGAGGAGGAGGGGTAGAAGAGGAAGGAGGAGGCCAGAGAGGAGGGGAAGGAGGGGGACGAGGAGGAAAGGGGGAGGGGAAAGGGGGAAGGGGGAGAGTTGGTTAGTTACCAGGAACTGGGAGCACACATGGGGCTAGATTCACATGTGGAACATCTGGAGACTACGTGCTAGATCCACATGAGGATCTGTCCGCCCAAAGCGAGGAGAGGAGGGGAAAGGGGAAAGGTGGAGGTGAAGCGGGTGGCCCACACGCGAGATGCGGAGCCGCAGGCACTCTGAGCACCCTCCGCGGAGGTAGGCCGCGCGCGAAGCGCGCGGCCAGCTCGGGTGTTCTGTGCCGGGCGACACAAGAAAGAGATGCGGAGCCGCTCCGAGCTCCCACCCCTCGGCACCGCAGCGTCGCCCGTCCCCAGCCCGAAGTCAAGGAGGCTCCCCTCCTCATCACCTCCCCCTGGCGCCACTCCTGGTCGCCTCTCCCTGCACTCCCGTTGCAGAAACGGTCGGCGAGCTCGAGGGGGAAGCGAGAAGGGGCAGGCCTTCTCTCGGCTACACTCACCAGTGACCCTGGGTAAGAATGACCTTTGGTGTGCGGCTTCAAGGGGGACGCGGGGAGGCCAAACCCGGGCGCACAAGCCGCTGCTAGGCCCGCACCAGAGGCCACTCCGGCGAATTGTCACTCTTACGCGTAATGGATCTCAGAAGGCGGCGGGGCTTCTCTGAAGCCCTCCTGCCTCCCGAGATGCCGTCTCTGTCTTGGGAGCAGGCTCTGAAAACTTCTCGGAAGGCTGGAGGCCTTCCGTGCCTTCTGGAAAGTCCCGCCCCCCCTCGCTTCCCTCCCAAGCTCGCCGCCGAAAAACGGACGGCCGTCAACCGAGAGGGAAGGCAAACGATAGGCAGGGCAGAGGAGGGGGGGGCAGAGAGAGGAGGGGGGGCGGACAGGAACACACGACAGAGAAACAGCGGCCGAACACCAACTCACAACGAGAAGCTCCAGGAGTCCATGCGCCACGCAACAGGCAGATCGGAGGAAGACAGCGGCGCTCGCGCCAGAGAAAAGGAAGCTGCAACACGGCGTTCGATTGTTGAGTGCGTGGACAAGGGCTGAGTTGCCCCGCGCAGGAGCGTGTGTCAGGGCAGCGGGTGCGCCCAGAGTGAACTGCCTGGCAGCGAAGCTGACAGCGCGATGTGCGTCGGGAGCGAGGGGAGAGCGCGCGGAGTCCGCTTCCTGCCAGCGACGCCGGCAGCGCGATGTGCACCGGGATCGAGCGGGCACACTTGTGCTAGCGACGACTTGGGTCCAAGACGCGTTCGGGGCAGCGTGGGACAAACTGGAGCCGAATTGGGCACAACAGGTAAAGGAACAGCGCGGGCGCGGAGGAGAAGGAGGCGGAGCACGCTCAGAGCATGAAGTCCTTAAACGTAGATTCCAGAGCACGGCCGTGCATAGTAGGAAGACATGGGAAAACTCCGAGGATGTGAGTAGCACTCGAAGCCAGGGGCCACGAACTCAGGATATGTGAATTACCCGATAGCGCACAGCAACAAGTGATGCAAAAGAAAATACACATAACCAGGAAAGCGGCCGCACATGACGTCGCAACACGATCAAATGAGCAATGACCAACAGCCCAGGGCGTTCCTCCACACCATAGGGTCGAAAGCAATGAAGGCCAAGGTCAAGCTAAACTGTGTTCTGCCAAACAACCGTATAAGTTTGCAGTCTGCACGCGATACACGAGCCGATCATGGCACATTTTAACTAAGATGCAGCGGCGCTTAGTGGTCTTCTGGTCGTAAAGCGGGAACGCTCAGGTAGAAGATAATGAGGACTGTGGATGAGAAGTGAAGGCGGAGGAGAAGGATGATGATGCAAAGCCAGCTCGCGGGGCGCAATTGAACGCGCACACACTAAACATAAATGGCCAGCAGTGGGTGACAAGTATAAAGGACTTGAAAGCGTCTGGTGCAATTTGTGCTGTCTGGAACAAGCATTGGCTGGCTTCCTGGTCTCTTGGCCCCAGCTTGTGGTCGTTTACGGACGTCCTCACCCATGTAGGGACTAAACGGGTCCCTCGGAAAGGCCGAAAACGGGTCCCAGACCCTGGGACGAAATTCGATTTCCGGGAGTGGGGGGAGCATTTTCAATTATGTGCGGGGGGAGGCCAGGAATGGCTAACATTCCGACAAAATGTGTATAAGTATACACACACACGTTCATACATATATACACAGACGTATACTCCGATCAACCTATAAAAATATATACACGTGTGTGCATAAACGCCTACACAAACATATATATATATAGTATATATGTATCTAGCAGGTGCATTATCAGCATCATCACGACCACCACCACCACTACCACCAGCATCATCATCAGCATCATCATCAGCACCATCATCTGCATCATCTTCTTCATCATCATCGTCATCGTCATCGTTATGGTCATCATCCTCATCATCATCAGCATCATCAGCATCATCATCGTCATCGTCATCATCATCGTCCTCCTCCTCCTCCTCATCATCATCATCATCATCATTGTCATCGTCATCGTCATCGTCATCATCATGTCTATAAATAAGAGAATGTCTATCTATAAATGTACATTGGGACCCCCCTCCCATGACTTTGGGGGGGCACCATGCCGACCCCCCGCCTCCAGAGCCCCCATGACGGCCCAACAAGTGGGCAAAGACAGCCCAACGGACGGGAACGGACGGCCCACATGGCTCCAAGACGGCCAAGATGGCTCTAAGATGTCTCCCAGACGGCCCAAGATGACCGAAGACAGCCTCAGCTGGCCCTCGAGAGAACCCAACAAAAGGCCCCCGAGAGGCCTCCCAAACGGCCCACGAGGCCTCCAAGAGGTCCTCCAGGAAGGCACCCGAAGCCAATATCATGCATTTACTGTGAGTCTTCGAAGGATCTTGGCAGTTGCGTCTTTTCGGCGTTCCCACGGTTCAAGCCGGCCCCAGAGGCCCCCAAGATCGCCCCAAGATCGCCCAAGAGGCCTCCAAGTGACAGCCCACGAGGCCCCCCAGGACGGCCCAAAGAAGGCCCCAAGACGGCCCGAAAAGCCTCCAGGGCGCCCAACATGGTGTCAGCGACGGCCCTGCAGCGCCCGAAGATGGGCCAAAACGGTTCAGAGAGGCCTCCAGGACGGCCTGCTACTGCGTCAGACGGGCCAGGAACGCATTAAGACGGCCTACAAAGGTGATGTCGCTGGCAGCTGTGCCAATACGGACCCCCTGCCTCCCAGGGACCTGCAGTCCGTGTGAGAATACAACTGGGCACTCATGCAGCAGGCTCCACGCGACAAGCGCCGGGAAAGAGCGGGAGCGCATAGAGCCAGCTGCCTGGCATCAGAGCTGGCAGCGCGATGTGCGCCGGAGACGAGAGCGGGTGCGCCCAGGGGCAGCGTTGTGCCAACCACGCGTGCGGCGCGATGTGCACAGAGAGCGAGCGGGTTGGCTCGGAAAGACCTTCCCTTCCCGGATTGCCTCCCAAGCCACCCCAACCCAACCCGAAGTCGCCGTTAGGCCTGCCAATTTCCAGTGGAGGGGCGTTCAGGAACATCGAGAAAGCGCTGCGGAACCCGTGCGCCCCCCAACCCGAAATTTGGAGGGTCTGGGACCGTCGGGTCGGGTTGGGGTGGTTTGGTAAGCAGTGAGCCCCTGCACCAGCGCTGGCATCACGACGTGCGCAAGGACCTAACAGGTCTGCGCGCCACACGAGGGGCGAGGGAGGGACACTGGCCGTGAGCGCTTGGTGAGGGAGCTACTGAAAATCCCTCGAAGCAAGCCAAGCCAAGCCAAGGAACAACTGGCCGGGGCTAGAAAAGAAGCGAGTGACTAAAGACGAACGAACCGACATCTAGAGTCCACAGCTTCGAGGCATCATGCTCGTAACGATGTTCCTGCGACCCAAGGAGGACGGGGCGGCCGTAGCATTAGGTCGGGCATGTTCTCCTACGGGCGGATATTGGAGGAAAAATGGAAATTAGTCAAAACATGTTCGTAAATACTCAGGAATGGCCGGCAAAATCGTCCCCTGATTATTTTTGCTGACTATCTTTGAATTCTCCTCCTGTTAAGGGACGTGCCCGACTTAACCGTAGCAGCGGCGAGGAACACGGGAAGAGCTCTCGCAGGACGGCGGCAAGAAAGACGGGTGGGCCCGGGAGAGGGGATCCTCGTCTCGGCCGCCGAGAGAGGCTCCAGGACGCCGTGGTGCCTCAGCGCCCTGCGCGCCGCGATGCTCGAGCTCCAACCGCGACTCTCGCTGTCAGCGTCGGCCGTCGCGCCGCCGCCGCAAGAACTGTGGCAGCTCAGGGATGGACCTGAACACTGTGTTTCGTCTTCGTTTTAATTTCGTTTTCGTTCCTGCTGTCTCCAGTCCACCTTTGCTGCAAAACGAGATCGAGACGAAAACGGCCCACGAGCCCGCCAACACCCCGTTTGGGTCCGCCCCCGTGGCGGCTCACGGCTCCCCCGAGCCCCTTCCGCGCAGAGGCTCAGGGAGACCCGGCTCACGTGGGGCTATCTCTTGCCGCTCTGCCTTCGCTCCCCTCCACTTCTGGTCCGCCGCGCGTGCCCGTCTCGCCCGGCCTCTTCCCCGATGCCGGCCCCATCCATTGAGCCGACTCCTCTCGAGCGACGTGGCAGAGAAAGGGCAGGAAAGACGAGGAAGTAGGAGAACGGAGGCGCTGAAGGCGCAGAAGAGAGGATGAACGATCAGCGTTCTCCACCTGCCAAGACTTAGGTCGGGCGTGTCCCCCTACATGATGCTTTTGGGCGAAAAAATAAAAAATACCCCAAAAATGCGCAGAAATAGTAAAAAAAATGTAAAAACATCGTCCCCTGACTATTTTTTGACTATTTGGGAATATTCCTCCTGTAGAGGGGCAGGCCCGACTTCATGCCAAGACCCTCGTTGGCAAGCCCCGGAGCCGGCGGCACGGTCCAAATCCCGGTCGGCAAGGAAGGCCCAAACGGGCAGCGCACTTGTTCCTCGGTGTCCTCGTAGTCACCGCTGTCTTCAGGCAAGCGCGTTCCACTACTCGCAAAGTCACTACTCGCAAATGGCCTGGATCCGCCGTGGGGGATTTACGATATATTACATCGAGGCGAGCGTGGTTGTTTTTTGTCAGACGTTTGCGAGTGGTGCGCTCGGTGAGTCTTGGCCGTGCCTGCGGCCATCCTGCCCGTCGTGCCGGTCACCCGTCGTCCCGCAACTATGAAGATCGGCAGGTCGACGCGGCGACAGGCAGATAGGGCGAAAAGTCGACGGCTCAGTGGGTCGGGCGGCGCTCAGGCGATCTCCGCCGAAAAGTTGACGTGCAGTCAGGCCAGCAGGCAATCAAGTCAGTACGTCGAAGACCGTTCGACGAATCGGCCGTTGACGATTTGCGCCTGCTCCTGGATTCGTCATGGTGAGCGAAGGAGCTGCCGGGAGCAACATGCCACAAATGTTACTCCACTATATCATTCATTGATATGATGGCGGAGGGGTCATGCCGAAAGTGACACCCCATGTGCCATGCGCACATGCATGTACAACGCAGATCTGGAGACAGCTGTAAATATCTGCTCGCATGTGCACGGCAGTTACCTGCACATGCACTCACACATCTACACAATTGTGAAGATGCCTAATTATGGTCGTAAGTCGAATGATACCGAAGGTTGCAAAGGTGAGCGGGTTGTCCCCATATGTCCGCCCAGACTGGGAGTCACTTGGGCGATACTCCAAATCTGAATGCGCCATCGTCGGCCACAGAGGAGAAAGAACCTCCACTAGCTCGCATGACTTACACTCACAATCCAAGAGGCGGTCGAACGTCAGTTTCAACAACCCCGCATGTTGTGTGCCTCAAAGATCGGATGCCCGAGGTATTGTCGCATGGAGAGCGAATGAGCATCACAAACAAGGTACGCTACCACAACAGCGCTACGAAAATGCTACATGCCCTCTGCCACCCCCTTCCTCAAGCACTTGTCATCATCCTATAATGAGCGTGTTCTTATTCGGCGTTTCGACATTGGGCGGGACGGGGGGGGAGGGAAGGGGGGGAGGTCTGGCTCCGGACCTCTGCTTAATGCGACTGCTTGCAGCAGTGCGTCCTGTGGGGGAGACTCCGCCTGCTGGAAACAGGCGCCCAAAACAGCAAAGATCTGCTCCACGGAGGGGGGGGAGGAGGGGGGAGGGGCGAGGGCCCGCGCAGATCGGCAAAACGCTGAATAAGAAAACAATCACATAGCGATTTCTTCGAAACTGGGAAGACCAAAAGGTACCGATACCGCTACTCCCCGGACCTCTCCCGGGGTGCGTTCTGACCAAGATTTCGAGGCGAATCCAACGATGGCGACGAGGGCCTCCCAGGAGGCCCAAAAAGGGGAAAACGAGCGAGGGGGCAGAGGTATGGGTATGTTTTCCTCCTCCGAGAAACTGCTAAAAAAGGGGGCATGGGAGGGTCGCCTGCCAGGCGGGCCCTGCATCATCCAGCTGCCGGCGCCCCTCTCCGGCGCCTCCTCCTGCAGACGGGCCGACAAAGGCATATACCGCGGGCCTGGGCTCTGCGACGCCCCTCCCCCCGCCCACTCGGGCATCGGACCCGCTTTCGCCCCAGAAGAGACGTGAACCAACACATGTGCCCAATCTAGGGGGGGCCCAGGGACACACAAAGAAATACCCACAGATCCCAGGATCCCCCCTTATTTTCCTGTAATTTCTGGGTGTTCGTCTCCCCCCCACTTTCGTCTCCCCCCTCATCTTCTTCTGGGGATCGACGATTCATTGTGTCTGCGTGGTTTTTCCTCTCCGGATTATCATGACTGCGCTTCCCCATTTAGCGCTCCATCGCTCACCAAAGCAACTCCGTCTGGAAGTACAGATGCCACCAAGGCGCTGCCGGCGAGGTCATGACATGCAAAATCGGAGGGTGTGTGTGTGTGTGTTGTGTGTGTTGTGTGTTGTGTGTTGTGTGTGTTGCGTGCTGTGTGTGTGTTGTGTGTGTTGTGTGTTGTGTGTGTGCGTGTGTGTGTGTGTGCGTGTGTGCGTGCGCCCCAGGGCAAATATTCACTTGGCACATGCCGTGGCGGTCCGGACGGCCAGCGCTTGCCAATCAAGCGAAGACAGTTCACTCAAAGGGAAGACAAGAAGGTGCAATCGCGGGAGGAGGAGGAGGAGGAGGAGGAGGAGGAGGAGGAAAGGGAGCTTTTTTTCTCGACGAAGGGGCCTGTGTGCTGGGGAGGAAAAGTGGCGTATAGTACAGCAAGACCGTCGCTGGAACCCATCAGGTCCATACTCTCTCTCGCGTCTGGGGCACGCACGACAGCGCTGCTCGGGACGGCAGACTGTCGGTGAGAAGCCAGACGCGGGGAAAATTCGCTGCACGGGCGCGCGCGGCAAGGACAGCTCGCAGCACGAAACGAGAATGGCAAACAAATCACAAAGGGGCAGAAATGCGCAAATCGTCCAGCAGCTGAATGTGTCGCCTAGCCATCCTGTTGATGGTCCACAAACCCTCGACGGAATCCCAAAAAGAGTGGGACGCCGTCTCAGACATCGTCCGCTCGAGGGCCGCGGTCACCATCTCCTCGATATTCTGCAGCGTCAGGTCCACTATCGCGTCGCTGCAAGCGCGGGCGAAGGCGTCGTAGATGTCGATGGGGATGCTGTCGTCCTCCGCCTCCTCGTCCTCCTCCTCGGCGTAGGTGTCGATCCGATCCGGGTTGGTCGTGTCTCCGCCCTCGCGGTCGCTCGTCAGCTTGGCCTTGCCCAGCTTCCCGCGCCTGTGCATCATCTCGCAGCACTTGAGGCAGAACGGGTCACTGTACTTCTCGCCGTCCATGCCGCAGATGTCGTAGGTGTTCGGCTCGATCATCTCGTAGCACGCAAGGCAGCGGTGACCGTCGTACTTCTCGCTCATCACCTGCGACGTCTTCGCGGGGCAGCTGGAGCACACGATGCCGTGAGGGACGTCGCTGATATGCGGTTCGATGCCGTCGCCATCGGAGTCCATCCTCAGCAAGGCCTTGCCCACCTTCTCGAAGTGGAAGCTCTTCGGCACGATCTGTCTCTCGTAGACCCCCTGCGGCGTCGGCGCGGCGAAGCTGGAGCGGAAAATGCCATTCGCTGTGTCGTCCTTGTTGCAGAGGCCGCAGGTATTCGCCTCGAGGCGGCCATCGGGGACGCTCGCCATCATATCCGTGTCGTTCGTCGCGCCGTCCTTGTCGTAGGCGTCGTAGGTATTCGTCCCGAAGGCCTTGTCCGACTCTCCGCGCCTGTGCATCATCTCGCAGCACTTGAGGCAGAACGGGTCACTGTACTTCTCGCCGTCCATGCCGCAGATGTCGTAGGTGTTCGGCTCGATCATCTCGTAGCACGCAAGGCAGCGGTGGCCGTCGTACTTCTCGCTCATCACCTGCGACGTCTTCGCGGGGCAGCTGGAGCACACGATGCCGTGAGGGACGTCGCTGATCTGCGGTTCGGTGCCGTCGCCATCGGAGTCCATCCTCAGCATGGCATTGTCCACCTTCTCGTGGTGGGAGTTCTTCGGCACGGTCTGCATCTCGTTGACCCCCTGCGGCGTCGGCGCGGCGGAGCTGGAGCGAGCAATGCCGTTCGCATTGTCGTCCTTGCAGAAGCCATAAGTGTTCGCCTCGGTGCGGCCGTCGGGGACGCTCACCAGCATGTCCGTGTCGTGCGTCGTGCCGTCCTTGTCGTAGACGTTCGTCCCGACGCGGCCGTCGGGGACGCTCACCACCATGTCCGTGTCCGACTTCCCGTGGGTCGTCTCGTAGCGCTCGAGGCAGGGGTTGCCGTCGTACTTCTCGCAATTCACCTGCGACGTCTTCGCGGCGCAGCTGGAGTAGAGGATGCCGTTCGAGACGTCGTGGATCTGCGGCTCGGCGCCGTCGCACTCGGAGTCCCTCGCCAGTATGGCCTTGTCCGACTTCTCATGGTGGAAGTTCTTCGGTACGATCTGCATCTCCACGAGGCCGGGCGGAAGGCCAGCAGCCGCTCCAGTCCGGAAGAGTCGGCATCGCAGTCGTGCTCGGCGGCGCTGAGCCCGTGAGCGCCTCACCACCGATGGGGGGGCGCCGCAGCGGTCATCCTCCGCATTGGCCATCATGCCGTCGGCGCGCTGGGGTGCCGCCAGCAGCCAGCCGAATGAGCAGTCCCTCTCGGGGTCCTGGCGGGTGGAGGGTGGTCGCGGGACGTGCGGCAGAGGCCGTGTGTGTTCATGGCCTGAGCCGTTCGCGGCCTTGAAGGAAAGGGAGGGGGAGGAGGAGGAGGAGGAGGAGGAGGAGGAGGAGGAGGAGGAGGAGGAGGAGGAGATAAGAGAGAGGGAAACAACAAAACTAACACACTCGCGCGCACGCAGACTGGCCTGGCTGGACGGCACTCGCACAGAGACCCTCGCGAGCCCGACCGGGGGGGGGACAAACATTAGGCTTGTCTTAGAAAGTCATTCCGGGTGGTGCTCCGTGGCTGGAGCGCTGTGATGCCCCAACTGCTGCGATGTATTGCTGCCGCCCGGGTGGTCTGTGGGTGGTGCCCTGTGGCTGCTCTGCTGTTCCCCAAACCTCGCACCAAGAAATTCATACTTAGCACGGAGGGAATTCGACTTCGTGTTGGGTCGGGCATGTTCCCCTACAGGCGGATTTCGGAGGAAAAACTAAAACATTATCAAAAACTACTCAAAACATGTCACCTACAAAAAGCGTCCCCAGACTATTTTTACTATTTTTGAATATTCCTTCTGTAGAGGGACACGTCCGACTTAAACTTAGCACCTGCTGCAAATTATTGTGGCCGCCCTGTTACCCTATGGGTGGTGCCCTTGGGCTGCTGTGCTATGAATTTCCGCTTGCTGCAACTTCTGGTTGCCGCCCTGGTGCTCTGTGGCCGGTGCGCCATGATTCCCCGTCTGCTGCGATCTGTGATCGCCGCCCTTGTGCTCTACATACGGGTGGTGCCCTGGCGGTTGCCCCAAGATTGGAGAGCAGAAAAACCTCCCTCATAAGAAGCACACCGACAAGCGAAGCCGTTTAGTAAACGTACCGCCCAGGGCCATTTCGTAAACGCCAGTTATGGGTGTCGTGGTGGTTTTCCTTCCTTGAATGATGCCCCAACATGTAGCGACTTCTGGTTGGCGCCCTGGCACCCTGGGGGTATGCTCTACGGCTGGTGCGTCATGATGCCCGAACTGCTGTGACTTGTGATTGCTGCCCTGGTACCCCACGGGTGGTGCTCTGCGGCTGGCTTGCTATGATATCCTCATTGCTGCGATTCCTACTCGTCAAAAAAACTGGCACGCCGTTCAAAATCGGGGCGCTCGATAGATCGGAAGCTCGTCAGAAAACGCGTTCTTCAACGCTGTGAGGGTGTTGCCAGATTTCGTATACCCATGCGCCAGGGCCAAATAGACTGCTGCGACGACAGTGTATTCTGTGATTTGGAATGATTCTGGAATCTCTAATCCGTCCGCATATTCCCAACATGGACAGAAAGCCGCAGACGTTCCCACGAAATAAATCGGGCCCCCCTTAATCAATAACCCTGTCATCCCAAAAGGGGATCGGAAGTTACTCCACCCGACCTGTCATGACAAATGAGGCGGGATGCATGTCCGTGCGGAGTAATTTCTACTCCGCCCACTCCGCCTACTCCGCCAGTCGTCAGTCATCTTGCACGCAGACCGCACAATACTTGTGCCACGGCGATGTACCCCATGCCCGCATTGAAATACAGCCGACCACACAAGCACCAAAAACAAGAACCGTCAGTTTTTTGTTGACGAGTCTTGTAGTTGCCGCCCAGGTGCCCTATGGCTGGTGATATATGGCTGGCGCGCCATGGTGCCCGAATTGCTGGGACTGTATGTCGCCGCCCTGGCGGTCTACGGGCACGTCGGATTGCCGCCCTGATGCCCCATGGGTGGTGTTGGATGGCCAGCGCCTCACGGTGCGCTGGCTATCTCATCTGCAGGTCACTGAGAGATACTTGACGTCACCAGTACATCCTCCAGTGCGGTCTGGATGTGGAGCTCCTGATAATTGTGGGCGATGTTGGGATCGAGGTTGGCATCACCCGCCTAGGTGTGCTGGGCCTCAAACTCCTGGAATACTCTTTTGGTGCGATGGACGCTACCCTGACTGGTGCTGGCGTTGGCGCTGGTGGTATCGGTGACGCTGCCAGGCTGCTGTCTGATATTACTGTGTGGGGCGTTCGTTGAGGGAGCTCTTCGGCTGGCGCAGACGTGCACACGATGGTGCCACGAGAGCAGGGGGCTCGTGAGCGGGTGGGCGAGCCAACGAATGCAGGTGGGAAACGTAGGCCACGCCGCCACGCTGGCACGCGGCACGTGGCGGGCGGGGCACGCAGTCCGTGGGGTGGCCTCATCCGCGCAGCACGTGGAGCCTGCGCACAGGTGGCGATAGAGAGAGAGAGAGAGACGCCGCCGCAGTCGCCAGTGCCCTGCCAGACGGCGGGATCTCGTCGCTGGACCGCGCCGCGGGTACTAGGAGTCGGCGCCCTGGACTGGGCCGGAGAGCGCCTGGAGTCCGACGTGAGCGTCGCATGCGTCGGAGTCGCGCGTCGGACGCGCGACTGGGTCGGGCGGTGCGGCCGTGCCCTGGCACTCTGCGTGCGGAGTGTGCACATGTACAGCGGGTGGTCCGTGTGTGCTGGCGCACCGCGGGTTCGTGTCGTGTCGACCCTGGCGTTGGTTCCTGGCGCCGCGGGGATCGTTCAACCTTGAACGATAGGCCGATTCCGAAACGTCAGATCGTTTAACCTTGGACGATCGGCCGTTCTGGGTCGCCGGCGGCGTTCAAAGTTGAACGCCTGCGCTAGGGCCGCCGCCGCATCCAGGCCTCGGAAAAAATAGCGAACACTCATGCCACACTCATCTGTCAAAGCCTCCCCCTCCCCCCATTTCCAAAGTTGGCGGTGGGTCTGATGACTTGCACCTCGACCGCAGTCTCCCCCGCGCGTGCCAACTTTGAGTTTGGGGGGGAGGGGGAGTGTTCAGTAACTGTTTCCCTCTACCGTAGCGCTATCCTGAAACGACCTTCTGCGTGGTAGCGGCGTGCTCTTGAGAGTGGACGCTACGCACTGCGCGGGAGTCAGGCGGAACTGACAAAATGCTGGGAGGGTGAGGCGGCGTTGGTGGTCGGGCAGCGGGAAGGACACGTACAGGAGTCGGTGTGGACGTGAGAGCCTGCGTCGCTGGCGTCGTTGGTGTCGTTGGTGTGTGTGTGTGTGTGTGTGTGCGAGTGTGTGAGTGTGCGAGTGTGTGAGTGTGTGAGTGTGTGAGTGTGCGAGTGTGTGGGTGTGCGAGTGTGTGAGTGTGTGAGTGTGTGAGTGTGTGAGTGTGCGAGTGTGTGAGTGTGTGAGTGTGCGAGTGTGTGAGTGTGTGAGTGTGTGTGTGAGTGTGTGAGTGTATGAGTGTGTGAGTGTGTGAATGTGTGTGAGTGTGTGGGTGTGTGAGTGTGTGAGTGGGTGAGTGTGTGAGTGTGTGAGTGTGTGAGTGTGTGCGTGTGTGTGTGTGAATGTGTGAGTGTGTGAGCGCGTAAGTGTGTGAGTGTGTGAATGTGCGCGTGTGCGTGTGAGTGTGTGAGTGTGTGTGTGAGTGTGAGTGTGTGAGTGTGTGAGTGCGTAAGTGTGTGAGTGTGTGCGTGTGTGCGTGTGTGCGTGTGTGTGTGTGTGAGTGTGTGAGTGTGTGAGTCTGTGAGTGTGTGAGTGTGTGAGTGTGTGAGTGTGTGAGTGTGAGAGTGTGAGAGTCTGTGAGTGTGTGAGTGTGTGAGCCTGTGAGTCTGTGAGTCTGTGAGTGTGTGAGTGTGTGAGTGTGTGAGGGTGTGAGTCTGTGAGTCTGTGAGTATGTGAGTCTGTGAGTCTGTGAGTGTGTGCATGTGTGAGTGTGAGAGTGTGTGAGTGTGTGAGTCTGTGAATATGTGTAAGTCTGTGAGTCTGTGAGTCTGTGAGTCTGTGAATCTGTGAGTCTGTGTGAGGCTGTGGGAGTCCGTGAGTCTGTGAGTCTGTGAGTGTGTGAGTCTGTGTGACTGTGAGTCTGTGAGTCTGTGAGTCTGTGTGTCTGTGCGTCTGTGTGCCTGTGTGTTCTGTGTGTCTGTGTCTGTGTCTCTGTGTGTCTGTGTGTCTGTGTGTCTGTTTGCCTGTGTAATCTGTGTGTCTGTGTCTCTGTCTCTGTGTCTCTGTGCCTCTGTGTCTCTGTGTCTCTGTGTCTCTGTGTCTATGTGTCTCTTTGTCTCTGTCTCTGTGTCTGTGCCTGTGTCTGTGCCTGTGCCTGTGCCCGTGCCTGTGCCTGTGTCTGTCACTGTGCCCGTGTCTGCGTCTGTGTCTGTGCCCGTGCCTGTGTCTGTGTCTGTGTCTGTGTCTGTGCCCGTGCCTGTGTCTCTGTCTGTGTCTGTGTCTGTGCCTGTGTCTGTGCCTGTGTCTGTGCCTGTGCCTGTGCCTGTGCCTGTGCTTGTGTCTGTGTCTGTGTCTGTGCCCGTGCCTGTGTCTCTGTGTGTGTATGTGTCTGTGTCTGTGTCTGTGTCTGTGCCTGTGCCTGTGCCTGTGCCTGTGCCTGTGCCTGTGCCTGTGTCTGTATCTGTGCCCGTGCCTGTGTCTCTGTCTGTATATGTGTGTGTGCCTGCGTCTGTGACTGTGCCTGTGCATGTGCCTGTGCCTGTGCCCGTGTCTGTGTCTGTTAGCGCGGGGCCTATAAAAGGCAGAAAGAAGCCCATAAAGGGGCCCAGGCCCCACTGAGGGGCCGAGGCCCAAAGGGGCCATCCCAAGACAGGGGCGGGCCACAGGGGATCCCGAGAGCCCAGACGAGCCGCAAAGGGCTGCCACCAGGGCGCCTCGGCCCCTAGGCGCCACACGGCCAGTCAGCTCGAGCCCCCGTCAAGGGGCATCAGCGCGAAGCGCTGGAATATATACAACTGTGCAAACACGCGACGGGCGAAGCCCCAAACCTGCTAGCACGCCCCAAGCGGCACGGCGGGGCAGGCGAGGCGCGGGAACCCACACGCCCGCACGCAGAGGCCCGCGGCGACTAGGGGTCCAAAATTGTCATGGCGCTCGAGACGGCCTCGACGGCCTCCTCCGCCCAGCTCAGCAGGCTCTCCTCATCGAGGCCGTGCGCATCCAGCCAGGCCTCCGCAATCCCGCTCCGCCCGCGGTGCCGCCAGCCGCCGCGGGCTCCTCGGCCGATGAGGCGGCCGCTTCGCCTGCGCCGCACTCGGCAGCACCTGCAACCAAGGCGCTGCCCGCGACTCCTGCTGGTGCTTCAGGCTGCACTCCGAGCCACGTCCATCACGGCCCCAGAAGAGGGGGCAGCGGTGGTCTGGCTCCCAACGGGCGTAGCACGACTGCCTCAGGCGAGACCCCAGCCGCAGGGCCAGCGGGAGCAGCGCGGCGGGCCGCGTCCCTCCGTCGGCTTGGGAATAGCAGCCGCAAGCGCCACCTGCCCCTGAACGGAGAAGGCTCGCCCTCGAACGCCACCAGGAAGTCTGACCAGCGAAGCGGCAGCGCCGCTGGCCGCAGGAGGAGCTGGCGAGGGAGCAGGAAGACGCAGCCCGACCCCACATACGGGCCGAAGCGCCTGCACGCCTGCTGCAGGTCCTCCAGGGTGATGGGCGGCAGCGTCGAAGAGCCAACATCCAACCCGTGGGCCCCGCCCCTGCGGGAGAAGCCCTCCTGGAGCCAGAGCCGCTGCAACGCGCGCGTGGGCTGGTCTGAGACACAAGGAGCCCCGACTGTAGCTTGGCGATCGCCGTGGGGCAGCCCATTTCCCCGCGTGGAAGGCGAGGTCGACCCACTTCTCGTCGGAGGCTCCAGGGAGGGCCTCTCGCAGCACCAGCGCGCTGAAGGGCATGCGCCTGAACTTGGGCCATGCCGCACGCCCAAGGAAGCGCGGCAGGTCGTCTGTCGCGGTCACGTGGATGCCCGAGAGAGTGCCCTCCGCCGCCTCGATCCACTCGCCGAAGGCCGCGGAGAGGCCGATCGGGCGCGAACCCTGCGCCCTTGACCAAGTAACCTCCTTCTGCGCCACCTTCCCGCGCTTGCCGAACGTGAAGGCCTGGACCAGGGCGGCATCGCGGGGCCGCATACCCAGGACCTCCATCTCAGGAAGCCGCGCGGGACGGGAGGGCACCTCGACCAGGGCGACGCACCTGACGTCCTGGAGGCGCGGCGGCACAGGGGAATGCGGGCGCAGCCCGAAGTCACTGAGCGTGGTCGTGCAGGACGCCGCGCAGGTGGCCAGGTCCGACGACGCGAAGAACCAGTCGAAGACGCGCTCCTGGCCCTGGGCACAGCAGGTCGCCTCCGAAGGCCCCAGCACCTGACCGCGGACCCCAGCCGGCCAGCCCAACTCCTCGGCCTGGAGCCCGACCCTCACCTGGATCGCGACGCCGCCCGACGTGGCGTTCGGGCCAGACTGCTCCGTGGCCACCGTCTCGTGGAGGAAGGCGGTGTATCCGAGACGGCGTGCCGTCGCCCTGGCCCCAAGCAGACGCTCCTGGGTCAGCCTCGTCTCCCGCAGGAGGACCAGCTGCGGCCAGGACTGGTGGGCGTGGAAGAAGGCCTCAATGACCTCGACGCTCCTGTGCCCGACGTTGCCAATACGGCCCATGACCTCCAGGCCAGCCCGCAGTGGGCACGGACTGACAGGGCCCGACCCTGGTGCGGGCGGGGGCCCGAAGCGAGCCTTGCCAATTCAGGCCTCCTGCGCATTCATCCTCGTCCTCTGGCCGCTCGGCACCACGGCTTCGCTAAACCCGTCGAGGGACTCGGCCACCCGCTCGCCAGCGGCCTCGACGGGGAGCGCGGGGGGGTGAGGGGCATCGGCCACCCGCCCGTCGGCGGCCCTCAACTCTCCCCCACAGCCTGGTGCCGACCTCGCATGTGGCCCGCTCAGGCGCCGCATAGCCCTCCTGCCGCTATCAGCACACGGGCCTGCCGCAGCGACGTCAAGGACACCTGCGGCTGCCAGCAGCAGGGCCATCAGCGGCCGTGGCCAGCGGCTGGTCGTCGAGGAGGGCCGCTCCAGCGTTGGCAAGGCTCCTGGCCAGCGGTTGGGCTGCGGGCCATGCGCCATGCGCCGCTCTTCGCCGCGCTCCCTGCCACGCTCGGCGGCATCCTGCACGGACGGGACCGACGACGCTCGGGTCCGCTCCTCGTCATCTCCACCGAGGTCCTCGTCGGAGACGTCGACGGGAGTGTCGGCCCAGGATGAGCAGCCCTTGGGCTCAGGGGGTGCCTGCCTGCGGACCGCAGCGATCTGCTTGGCGACCTCGGCGAAGGCGGCCTCCCCGTTGCCTGCGGCGAACCCCTGCGGCAAGGCCTCAACCTGCTGAATGAGGCCGAAGACCAGCCCGAGCAGGTCCGTGCCAGCGAAGGCTGCCCCAACCTCCTGGGCCTGTCTGGCCTCAGCGGCCTTCTGCTCCTCGCGGTGAATCTCGAGGGCAGCTCGGCACTCCTCGACGGCCTCTGCGCACGCGGCCTCCCGAGCGACTGCCTCCTCACGCTCGTTGATGGCCGCCGCGTGGGCCTCCTCCGCCTTGAGCAGCGCCTGCTCCTTGGCCCGCCCCTGCCTGGCCATCTTACCCAGGGCGTTGCCAGCGCCGTGGAGCGCCTTGGGCAGGGGGGTGTCGGCCTTCCTGCGATCAGCCTGCGCCGCCTCCGCTGCCGCGAGCCTGCGACGCCCACGGTCAAGGGCCGCACGCAGCGACTGCAGGCACGCATCATCGATGGACTCGCCAGGGGCCGCCAGGAAGTCCTCGATGCGCTTGACCTCCTGGCGGTGCCGCTCGACTCCCGACAGCTGCCTGCTGCTGGCCTCGCTGGCGCCTGCCAGGCTGGCGGCACCCGCGCTGGCTGCGCGGGCAGCAGCGCGCTTGGCCTGGCGCCTCGCTTTCCTCCCACGGGGCTGGACGACAAAGCCCTCGGCGTCAGCGGCAGGCTGCTCCAGGCCAGCGGCGGCCGCGGGCGGCTGGGCTGCCTTGACCCACGGCGGGGCCACTCGGCCGCAGCTGCGGCACTGCCAGAGCGAGCCCCAGTTCCATTCCCTGCAAAGGCGGCTGGAGCAGACCCAGTAGCTCCAGTAGCCCTTGGCCTTGCCGCCCCCCTCGACGTCGCCCCGAGAGCGGCCTCCAGCAGGCTGTCCGTGCCCCACCATGGCAAGGCAGGATCTGACGAATGGCCTCGCGGCCCAAAACTGCGGCCTCTCGGCCGAGGCCCGAGGTCCAGAGAACTCGCACACGAGAGCTGGCCCAACGCGCGGACTGTGTCTGTGTCTGTGTCTGTGTCTGGGTCTGTGTCTGTGTCTGTGTCTGTGTCTGTGCCTGTGCCTGTGCCTGTGTCGGTGCGTACGTGCGTGCGTGCGCGCGTGTGTGTGTGTGTGTGTGTGTGTGTGTGTGTCTGGCGCGGCTGTCGGCAATGCTGCAGTCGATGTCCGTGCTGATGCTATAGCCAGAGTAAGCAGAACGAGGCACTGAGGGAGCACCACGGCGGGGGCTGGACGGCGCAGGGAGACGATGAAGGGGAGCAGGGGGGGAGGGGGAGGGGGGGGGAGACGAAGAGGAGCAGATAGAGGAGGGGGGGGCAGAGGGAGGAGGGGCAGAGGGAGGAGAGGGAAGATGAAGAGGGGAGTAGGGGCAGAGGGGGGAAATGGGGAGACGAAGAGAGACGAGGAGGAAGAGACGAAGAGGGGCAGAGGGGAGGAGGGGAGCAAAGAGCGGGGGGAGGAAGGAAGGACGAGGACCGTGAGGGATGGCGGACGCGGGACAGTGGACGAGGAACGTGGGGGGGATGGACGCAGGACGAGGGACGATGGAGGAGTGAGGGAGGAGGGAGGAGGGAAGAGGGGGAATACTGCAATAGTGCTACCATAGAGAACTCAGAATAAGGAGCGAAGGGCCTTTTTCTGGCCACGGCAGACCTAGGTCGCAAACACGTTTCACGACACAAATCTAAGGAACGGGCCGCAAACCCCAGCCCTTCCCGACGCAAATCCAAGGAACGGCCCGCAAATCCGAGCCCCTCCTGAACCCAAGGTGGTCCCAGTTTCAGCGCCTCGATTGTATGGAACATGGAACGGCCTGCCTCCAAGGAGGCAGGAAGGAGAGGGAGGGATTCCAGCGCCTTGACTGCATGGAATTTGGAGTGGCCTGTCTCCAAAGAGGCAGGTCACAAGGGGGGAGGGGGGCGAGGAGAGGAGAGGGAGGGATTCCAGCGCCTCGACTGCATGGAATGTGGAGTGGCCTGCCTCCAAGGAGGCATGTCACAAGGGGCGGGGGAGAGGAGGGAGAGGAGAGGACGAGGTACGGGCGTCGTCGATCTGCTCTTCGCATACTCCCGCAGACTGACTGCGACCCCCCCCCCCTTCGGCCGCAACCTCCCCATGGGCCTCCCAGAGAGCAGGCGGCCGTGGAGCAAGGCGCGCCTCTTTCGAAGCCCACCTCCTCTGGTGCCCCGGGCCGCCGTCGTACGAGTGCACCCGCACCACGTCGGCGTGCATGCTCTCCTCGCCGCGCGGATGCCCCCTCTCGGCTACACGTAACCTTTGGTACGCGGCCTCACGGGGGACGCGGGGTGGCCAAACCTGGGCGCGCAAGCCGCTGCTGCCGCTTCGCGCTCAGCGATCGGGGGAGCCCTTGGGGCCCGCACCAAAGGTCACTCCGGCGAAAGGTCACTCTTGCGTGTAGTCGACCCCTCGCCCCTCATCCTCCGGGGAGGAGGAGGAAAGGGGGGAGGAGGAAAGGGAGGAGGAGGAGGAGGAGGAGGAGCAGGAGGAGGAGGAGGAGGAGGAGGAGAAGGAGGAGGAGCAGGAGGAGGAGCAGGAGGAGGAGGAGGAAGAGGAAGAGGAGGAGGAGGATTTGCTCCCTGGCCTGCCCTTTCTGTCCCGCAGAGGCTGGCCCTCGCGCCTGCTGCGGAGAGACTCGCCCTGCGCGGCCGGAGGCCCGGATTCGTGCCCGAGCCGATGCCCCTCCCCCCGCTCTGGCTGGCGCACAACCTCCCCATCCCCCCCTCCTCGCCCTCCCCATCCCCACCTTCTCCCCCTCCCCCCGCCCCATCCCACCTCCTCCCCCCCTCCTCCCCATCCCCATCTTCTCCCACTCCCCCCTCTCCATCCCCACCTCCTTCCCCCCTCCCCCCCGCACCCCCTCCTTCCTCCCCCTCCCCTGCGCCGCCAGTCCCGATCTCCCCTCCCTCTGAGCCGAGCCCCTGCCCGCAATCCCCTGGGACGCCTGCCCTCCATATTTGGCTACACGCAAGAGTGACCCTGGGTCAGAATGACCTTTGGTGCGCGGTTTTTTGCGGGCCGCGGAGACCAAACACCAGCGCGCATGACGCTACTGTCGCACCGCACGCGACGATGGGGGGGCCATTGTGGGCGCGCACCAAAGGCCTCTCCAGCGACGGGTCACTCTTGCATTCGAACACTCTGGGTCGAGAGCAGATCACGGCTGGCACCCGACGCGGCCGAGCGCTCCTCCACCGCCGGCCAGTGGTTCGGCGGCGCGGGCGCGCTCATGGTGTGCGACAGCCCGACCTGGCGGCACGGCGGAGGCAGCGGGGGTCAGCGGGAGGCGGGCACCAGCACAGTCCCCGTACAGCCCAGGAGGCCGCAAGATGATGCTAAGTTGGCCCGAGCAGGTCCAATGCAGCCCCAAGGAACACCCAAGAGGCCACAGGAAGCTTCTGAGAGGCCCCTGGGAGGCCTCAGGGAGGCCCCTGATTGCCTCCCAGTCTCCCCAGAACTCTCCTAAGATGGCCATGATCAGCAATAACAAACAAATTGCCCGAGACGCACCCAACCCCCTCTCACCGTGAGGCGGCTGCTTACATGAACGTCCCATACACAAGAACACGTTGCGAGGACAAATTACTCCGCTGAACTCTCGGGGAGCCCGCGAAAGTGGAGACAACTTGCGCAGATCGCAGCATTCCAGGGAGCCGCGAGGTCTCGCCTGCCGACCGCCTCCGCTGGACCTCCCAGGAGCCAAGTGGGGACGGTTGCGCAATTGACAGACTCCCAGGCAGCCGCGAAGTCTCGCCTGACTGCAGCAGCAGGGGGAGGAGGGGCAGGACGAGGGGGAGGAGGAGGAAGCTTGGAGACCACAGTGTTGCATTCAAAACGAGACCCCAACCAAGAGAGGGCTGGGAAAAAGCGCGCACACACACACACACACACACACACACACACACACACACACACACACACACACACACACACACACACACACACACACACACACACACACACACACACACACACACACACACACACACACACACACACACACTCACACACACACACACACGCACGCACGCACGCACGCACGCACGCACGCACGCACGCGCGCGCGCACACACACACTAGCAAACACACAGACAGACGGGCAGGCAGACGGACAGACAGACAGACAGACAGACAGACAGAGACGGACAGACATTCATTCATTCATAAATACATACATACATCCAGACAGACAGACAGACACGCATACACATACACATACACATACACATACATGCAAGACAAACAGACATGCCACATACATACAGACAGACAGACACGCATACACACATGCATACATGCAGATATGCATGCACATATATATATATATATAGGTACTTACATCCGTACATACATGCATGTGTACACACACACGAATGCGTACATGCATATATGCATACAAACATACAGACATACATGCATGCATGCATACATACGTACATTCATATATTCATACATACATACATACGTCCGTCCGTCCGTACGTACATACATACATACATACATACATACATACATACATGCATGCATGCATGCATGCATATATGTATGCATGCATACATACATGCATGCATGCATGCATACATGCACGCATGAATACATGCAACCATATTCCCGATTACCTAATAAACACACACACACACACACACGTGAGAACACACGCACGCGCGCGCACACACACACACACACTCAGACACACACACACACACACACACACAAACACACACACACACACACACACACGCACGCGCACGCACGCACGCACGCGCACGCACGCACACGCACACGCACACGCACACGCACAAGCGCACACACACACGCTCGCAGGCACGCGCGCACGCAAACACGAACACACATACACACGCGCGCACACACAGACACGCACACGCACACGCACACGCATATGCACACCCACACGCACACGCACACGCACACGCACACAAACACACACACACACACACTCACACACACACTCACACACACACACACACGCGCGCGCGCGCACAACACATATCTATATACACACACACGTGCACGCGCACGCGCACGCGCACACGCGCGCGCACACGCGCGCGCACGCGCACGCGCACGCGTACACCCACGCGCACGCACATGCACGCACGCGGCCCACCGCAGCGCCGCCGCCCTCCTCGCCCACGCGCAACACTCTACCCCCCCCCCCCCCACGCGATAAGACGACATGTCACCAAACTGACTCCCCCCCATGCCGCCAGCCAGACGGACAGGACGGACCCCCCCCCCACGCGGGACGGCATAACGGCATCAAAATTGGCACACCCGTACGCCCCTCGCAGGACAAGCCATTTCCACCCCAACACGCAATCCGACCCCCCCCCCCACGCTTATCAAGCAATCTGAAGTACATACAGTTATACATACATACATATATACCTACCTACCTACCTACATGCATGCATGCATACATACATACATACATACATACCTACTACAGAATACATAATACAACTTACAAATTATATACATGCATAAATACATACATGCATGCATGCATACAATACAATACAATACAATACAATACAATACAAGACAAGACAAGACACGACAATACAAAACAATACAATACACTACACTACACTACACGACACGACACTACACTACAATACAACACAATACAATACAACACAATATAATACAATACAATACACTACACTACAATACAATACAATACAATGCATGCATGCATGCATGCATACATACACATACACATACACATACACATACACATACACATACACCTACACATACACATACACATACACATACACATACATACATACGTACATACATACATACATACATACATACATACAAACAAACAAACATACATACGGACATACACAGATACATACTTACATGCATGCGTGCATAAATGTATGTATGCATACACACATACATACACACGTGTCACCAAATAAGCAAATCGACAACCAATCACAAACATACACAAACAGACAAACAAGCAAGCAAACAAACAAACAAACAACAAACAAACGAACAAACAAACAACAAGCAAACAGACAAAACCAAACAAACAAACAAACAGAGAGGCAGGCAAACAAACAAACAAAGCAAGCAACCAGCCAAAAAAACCAAACAGCAATTCAACGTTCAATGATTTCGGCCTTCCTGTCTCGCAGGCTTCAAGGGTCTTCTCGGAAACCGCGGTGGCCCCGAGATGGTCCCAAGGAGCCCCGACAGGGCCCCAAGAGGGCTGCACCCAAAAGGGGCCCAAGAGCGGCCCCACAGCGGAGGCCATCGGGAGGCAGCCCCCCAATATGGCCCCAAGACAGCCCCAAGAGGCCCCATGATGACCTGAAGGGGGCCCAAGATGGTCCAAGACCGCCCCCAAGAAACCTCCAATTGATCGTTGTGATCGTTGTGGATGTTATCCTTGTCATCGTTGTTATCCGTGTTATCTTTGTCATCGTTCTTTTCGTTGTTATCGTTGTGATCGTTATCGTTGTTACCGTTGTTTTCGTTGTTATCGTTGCCCAAGATGGTCCAAGACAGCCCCCAAGAAACCTCCAAGAGGCCCCCGGGAGGCCCCCCCAGGAGGCCCCCCCGGGAGGCCCCTGAGAGGCCCCCTGAGTCATCCCGAAAATCCTTCAGCATCGCAAGGAATCCTGAATAGCACGTACTGCTTCTGCGTCTACGGGCTCCAAAGGGCGTATCGGCCCATCGAGAGGGCCCAAGAAGGCTGCACCCAAAGAGAGCCCAAGAGCGGCCCAACAGCGGGGACCAGTGGGAGAGCGGAACCAATACGGCCCCAAGACAGACCCAAGAGGCCTCAGGATGACTCCAAATTGGCCCACTGTGGTCCAAGACAGCCCCCATGAAACCTTCAGGTCGCCCAAAATCGTCCAAAACGGCTCCCATGAGGCCTCAAGAAGCCCCTCGGAGGCCCCCAGGAGGCTTCCAGAAGCCTCCCAGAAACCACCAAGCGATCCCCAACATACTCTGGCATGAGTGCTGCACTCAGTACACCAAGCGACTGCTTCTCCCTCACGCGAGCTTCCCACGACAGATAGGGGAAACCACATGCAACCAACAAACTTCGAATTCCCACGAGCACGCTGGCGGATGGCAAGGACGATACAATGTGGGCCGGCGGAATGTGCGAAGCGGTTGAGCAAAGCCAGGGTGGAGATTTACCTTGGCACCTAGAAAGCCCATATTGGACACCAAGGCAAAAGCCTATGAAGTTACATAAATGGCTCATGTGACAACGCGCAGCACTGTAATCGTATCGACTATAGCCTGGTAATTCGATTCAGAGCGGTGGCGACAGCAAGAGCAGCAGAAAGCGAATTCGGCAAACTTAGACCCTTGTGGGCATATGCATCAGCATGTACATCTGTACGTATATACGTACGCACGTACGTATGCATGCATGCATGCATGCATGCATGCATGCATACATGCATGCATGGATGGATGGATGGATGGATGAATGGATGGATGGATGGATGGATAGATGGAATGAGGGATGGATTGATGAACGGATGTGTGTCTGTCAGTCTGTCTGTCTGTCTGTCTGTCTGTCTGTCTCTGTCTGTCTGTCTGTCTGTCTGTCTGTCTCTGTCTGTCTCTGTCTGTCTCTGTCTGTCTCTGTCTGTCTCTGTCTGTCTCTGTCTGTCTCTGTCTGTCTCTGTCTGTCTCTGTCTGTCTCTATCTGTCTGTCTGTCTGTCTGTTTGTCTGTCTATCTGTCTGTGTCTGTTTGTCTGCCTGTCCGTCAGTCTGTCTGTCTGTATGTATGTATGCATAACTCCTTTCCTGTACTGTTGCAAGCCAGTGGGGTGGCGACCCCCCCCTTCAAACGGGATCCCTGGATCCGTGGCCCCAGGGGCCCCCCTGGACGCCTCTGCAGAAGGTCCCCGGGGCTCTCCGGAGCTCCTGGGAGCCCGGGCTTCGTTTCCGGGACTTGGCCGCCCCCCTGACGGACCTGCCGTGCAAAACTGGAGCTCTGGGCAAGCGCGGGGCAACCTCCCGAGCGGGCACCGAGCGCGGGCAGCCAAGAAAATTGCCCGCGCCCTGCCCGCGCCAGGGGGCACCCGAACTAGCGCCCTGGGCAAGCTCGGGCACCTCCAATACTGAACGCCGAGCCCGGGCAGCGGAAACCGCCCGCGCCCCCCAATCTGGCGCCCAGCGCCCAAGAAAACGGGCACAGGGCGCGGGCAGCCGCGAACAACAAAAAATATCCTGACGAAAG